TTCGTGTTTTGTTCCTCTTCGCGATTTTACGACATGCATTGTCGATACATTCGGCCCGTTCGAACGTTCGACAAACCGACACGAGCCGCGCGCAATTGAAACGAGACCGCCGCTGCCGCCCGGCGCGGCGTCGCGAGGCTCCCGCGTAAATCCAGCGGTGTAACGTCGATTATACGAACGCGAGGAGATTCACGAGAACCCGATAATAAATCATTATACCGCGCCCGTCGCTAATCTCCCCCCACGCGCATCTCTCGACTCGTGTCGCTCGCCGCCTTGGCTGACGCCTTCCTCTCTTCCGGGCCCGATATCCAATCGCGGAATAAAGATCGATCATCACCCCCTTGGTTGCGAGCCAACGACATGTGCCAATAGGATCGCTTGATTGGACAAAACCGTATACTCGACCGTCTTGTTACGGCGATACGCCGTAACGTTGTATGCGTGTCTTTCCAGCCCGACGGCTCCCATAAAACTCCCCGGCTATCGACGGCGCGGTGTCGGATATAGTTTCGCGATTTTTCACCGACTGCGGCTCCAAAGCCGCGGGAAATAGACTCTACTCGACGATAAGAAGCAAGTGCGTTCTGTCGCATTGTGCGCGCACGTGTCTCTTATTAATGCGAGAGCAACGCTACACGGGATGGCACGGTGTGCGGTAATTAGCGGAAACGGGTTTTCGGAGCATCAACGACAGATGCTGTCGCAAAGTGCTTCGTTATATTCCTTATGTTCATCGCGACCTGGCCCGGAGAAAGAGGAAGGGGCGAGGGGCCGGGGAAAGGAGAAGAGAGAGAGAGAGAGAGAGAGAGAGAGAGAGAGAGAGAGATGGGGGAAGGGGAGGGAGAAGTGGAGGAGAACTTGTCACATATTCTCCACACAAGACCTTAAACTGTTGCCTAGTTTACGGATCTGGGTCGCTTCCGGCAAAGAGAACGAGATAGGAATAGGATATTGATCGACGTCGTAAATGCACGAAACTGAAGTATTAACAACCAGACTCGCGGGATAAACTATATTCTCGCTTTACCTTCGACCTTTCATTTCGGTGCATCATCATCGTCCTTGTCCTCGTCGTCGTCGTCGTCGTCGTCATCGTCGCTGCCGCCGCCGCCGTCGCCGCCGCCGCTGCCGCCGCTGCGGCATTGATTCTTAACCCCCACACACATCCCCTTCTACTACCTTCCCCCATTACACACGACGTCTACAGAGGTACTCACGTAGTCGAGTCGTAGGATGGAAGGACAAAGGAATGCAGATTGAAGAGACGCGGATTAACGAGGATTAACGCTAATTGTGCGGTCGGCGACGACGACTCCTCGTTCTTGCCGTTCTCTCACGACAAATTCACCGGAACGAGGATAACCCGCGGTAGATTTCTCTCGTTCCACGACGGCGATGTCGACGACGAGGACGAGGACGAGGACGACTGTTCGATCTCCCTCTCTGAGCGAAAGAGCGAAAGAGGGAGAGAGAGAGAGAGAGAGAGGGAGGGAGAGAGAGAGAGAGAGAGAGAGAGAGAGAGAGAGAGAGACCACTCGAGAGAGGATTCAGCATGCGACGAGATTGGAGGTTGACACTTTTTCCCGAGTCAAGAGCCGTCGCTATTATTCAAATTGTCCCATCAAAGTCAGTCACGATGCGAAAGCTCTCGCGTGTCGTTACATGAGATCAATTCAGCGCCGCCTTTAATCAAAGCCCCGTTCTTACCGGGGCGAGGAATTATGAGACCCGACGCGACGCGACGATCGAAGCGTCCGCACGCGCGCGCGCGCGCGCGCCGCCGCGAGACGACAGATCGATCGATTTCGTCGAGTGGACGCGCTTCAAGCTGCCTGCGAAAGCAGAGAGTACTCGTGCGAGTGGTCCAATTTAACAAACGAGCAGGTACGGCTAATGAATTTTTTCGGCTCTATCGGCGCGAGTGAGCGAGCGAGCGTGCGAATCCGTCTTCCTCTCTCGTTCCCTCCTCGGCCGCCTCACTCCCTCGGCCGCGCCTCACTCGCTCGCTACGCCTCGGTATGTACGATTGTACGCTTTTATCCCGGGATTGTTCTTATGCAGGCAAAGGGAGGAGAGAGAAGCCGTACACAGAGGTAACGTCGCGTACAATAAAGCGCATTATGCGTCGTCGCTCGCGGAAAGATACCTTCGAGCGCGCAATTGAATGCGCTCTCGCGTTCTTTCGAAATCTCACTTGACGAAAAGGGAAGAGACGGTCCCCTTGCTCTTCAACGACGAGCAGCCGTTTCGGGAGGGGGAAGTTCGAGCGCGCCGGATGAGAGAAGGAGACGGGCGCGAAGATCCACGCTGACTGATTACAAAGTAGTCATCGTCGAAACGGGGAGAAAAAAGCCTCACAAAGAGCGACGCGCGGGATCTTGCCGTAGGCTTCGAGAGTGAATTCTCGCCGCCATCGCCGCCGCCGCCGCCGCCGCCGCCGCCGCCGCCGCCGCCGCCGCGTATGTACGGGAAATGCATGCGAGCCGTGTACGCGCGCGAGTGATTACGGCTGATTGCGCTCGGCGAGGGGATATTCGGCGATTGTTAGGAAGCGCTGCTTCCAAAGCTGTAGTATCACACCCGTGCGTGTTGCATTGCGCAACGTCACGAGCCGGAGGGAGCGCTTCCGATCGCGTAATTGAAACGGCGCGAAAAGAGGAGAGAGCGACGAGAGCGCGCGTTTCTACCAAGAAACTATTCATTTTCATTATTTTCATTAGGTGTTTTTCCGCTTAATTC